TGATTGGTTTGAGCCAATATTTGGTCCATATATAGAAGATAATAATATAGGTGTCAATTGATCAGGATTGAATTAGAATTAATCTAAATTAAAACAAATTTGAACAGATTGAATGGTCCAAACATTGAATTGGACTGGTCAAAAATAGTCCAAAAAATTCATTGGCCAGATTGGATTGGACCTGGTCCATTTGTAATATAGACTCACATTACACTGGATCGGATTGGACCAAATCCAGTCCAATTGACACCTATATTAACAACAAAATAAATAAAACCTAATCAATATTTTTAATATAATCTTATGGCCTACCAGTTTGCCTTTTCATGCAAAGAAAGGCAAATCATGCTATGTATTAAGAGAAATGTGATGTTGTTAGCTGTGGCCTATGGTAAGGGTTGGATCATGACCCAGATCCAATCCAAAATCTAAATAAAACGTATATGGATATCAAATAGTGGAGATACATATAATCGCATTCAAATAGACCCTATATATACAATCCAATTCAGATCCGTCTCAGTATTGAAGTTGGTACACAAAACAACTTTCCAACTAAAACCCAAGTGGAAAATGATTTGAGTGCATCACTACTGAAATGGCAAATAAACCATTCGTTGGTTATGTGAAAAGTCAAATATGGGGATGCATTTTTCTTTTTATACCTGCACCTTCTTTCTAAAGGTTTAAGTATGTGTAGGGGTGGCCACTAGTCGAGTTCTTTACGAGTTATTCGAGCTTTGCTCGGTTCGGTTCAGTTTCAATCAAGCTTCGAGCTGAGTTCGAGGCCAATTTACAGACTTATTTATTAATTGAGTTGAGTTCAAGTCTAATAAAGATCAGCTCGTGAGACTCGCAAGCTGAGCTTAAATAGCTATATACATACATATGATGATGATGATGATGATGATAATGATGATAATATAAAATTATAGAAAATAATTGATCGGTTGTCTTGAAATAAGTAATTTGAAATATCTATGGGACAGATAGGTTTCACCTAGATTTGATATGATGATTCAGATTTTAGAGAAAGAAGATTTTTTGAAAATGTGGATGTTGAGAATTGAAGATAGCCGAATGGTGGTGAAGCAAAAGAAAATATTGCTTTGAGTTTTTACTTTCTTTGTGATCACTCTAATTGTGAATGTTTATATTATTTTCTTTTGCAATAATATTTATAGGGACTTAGGAATGGCTTATGGGGATAATTATGATAAGGCATATTGGAAGGAGCCAACAATGCAGGAACTATTGTTGGACCTATGTATTGAGGAAGTGACTATCCATGAAAGGCAAGTGGGATCATTGAGGAAAAATTCATGGGCACGAATACAAAAGAAGTTATAGGAAAGTATTCAAAAGAACATTTCACAAAAACAACTAAAAAATGGGTTCAATTATCTGAAGAGAAAATATCAACTTTGGGTGGCCCTAATTAGTAGGATGGCAAATGGTTACAACCCAACCACGAGTACAATGGATTGGACAAATGAGCAATGGGAAGATTTCTTAAAGGTAACTAGTTTGGAATTTTGTTGTTGATAGGTATATCTCTGTGTGTAGGGTCTAATAGGATGGATTGTTTATTTATATGGTAATAGGCATATCCAAATGCAAAAGTATTTAGGTATGTATGGTTGTAGTTTACGGCTGAATGCAGAGCATTGTTCAATGGGGCCTGTGCAACACATGTTTTCGAACCATCATTGACTCAGATGGTTAAATCGTTTGGCCTGGGAATTGTTCAAGCAACCAGTTTCGTTTTACCCCAAACCCGGTCCCTGGTAAAAACCGTTGAATTAGTCAACAATCCATTGACCCAGGTGGTCAAACCGACGACCCTTACAACAATTTTTGGTTGTATTTTTATTTTTTATTATTATTTTTTAATTTTTGTTGTCAGAACGGGTCATCCCTTCAAATTAGATGGTCGAACCATCACCCGGAAACCATTGCCAGAATGGTTCCGTTTCCAATTGTTTTTTAAAATCGTGGTGCAACTAGAGAAGTTGGTTGGACTCCATTGGCGAATAGGCTAAGACCATTGGCTTTTACTAGTTTATCAACTGCTTTACCATCTATTGAATTTGAGGGTGAGACCCTAGAGGGTGATCCTATTGATCTTGATGACATACTTGCCACACCTCCCATAAGGCTCCAAACTCAAACACAACAAACAGTTGAAGAGTTTATAGGTCCAAGTGAACGAGCATTTAAGAGTCCAAATAAGGGTAGTAGTGGAATTGATATCAAGATGGAGAAGCTTCTTGACATTCTGATTGCTAAAGATGGAGGCCCAATTGTAGAAGATTACATGCAAAAACTCCATGAAATTGGATGGATAGCTAGAACACCTTTATACTTTGAGGCTTCAATTATCTTTATGGAAAACCTGAAAGCTAAGAAGGAGTGGATCCATTGGTGTGAAACATGTGACACATTCAATGAGGAGGAGGTGAAAAGGTAGATATCACTGTGGGCTAAGAGGATGAACCTCTCATAGGAGTTGTTTGTCGATTTCAATCATATTTGGATATGATGTTTTGGTTAAACAAATGGGTGGAACTCTTTTTTCTTTATTAATTAGTTTGGAATGATACACTTTACTTCTAAGTGGACATATGCAATATGCTTTTTTTTGGGTTTTTTGATATTTTAGATATGTTATAGATGATATTAGTTTGTGGCACTTGATGACTTGACATAATTGACATTTTCATATTTCTCTTCGATATACTTGAATGTTTGCTTTTAGATTAATCTCAATGTAGAATGTAAACTACCAGGTACCCAATAAATATGTTGACACCTAGGATGAAGAGGTTGGGTATGATTATCATCCTATATTGGTATATAAAAAAGCTTTTAAAATGACATATTCTAAGGATGTCAGATTGTGAATCTTCAGTACCCGATTATATTTATACACAAGAGCTATTAAATGAAAATAATGCCCAAACCATTAAGGTTATGAGGATGCCTATTGAAGCATATGTACGAATATGTGGCCATTTTCGAAATCGCGGATGGTTGCATGATAGTTGATACATATCAGTGGAGGAGAATATGGTATGTTTCTTTTGTGTTTGAGCCATAATGAAAAGTTCTCTATTATGAAGAGATGGTTCCAACACTCCACTCAAATAGTGCATAGATACTTCCATCAAGAGTTAACTGCTATGATGGAATTTGCACGAGAGATGATCTGCCCAACTACATTTGACCCAAACCCTAAGATCCCAAGGCACCACAAATGACTTTGGCAAGTATTCAGGGTAACTAGTTGATAATGTCACATAGGTTTCTAATTTTTATTATGATAGGGGTTGATCTTAGAACGAGTTTTATTTGTTTGTTTTTATTTGTTATTGAAGGGTATTGTTGGTGTTTTAGATGACACACTTGTTCATGTTATAGTACCACCGGAGAAGCAACTAGCATGTCAAGGAAGATGAGGGAAAGAATGTTTCCAAAATATGCTAGTTGTTTATGATTTTAACATGGTGTTCACATATGTTTACGCCAATTGGGAAGGAACAACACATGACGCTAGAGTTTTGCATGAGGTTGCACACAACACTACCAACAACTTTCCATTTCCACCTACTAGTTAGAATGATGTTCTAGGGGTGTTCATTATTTGTTGGTAATTTATGTAAATATTTTTTAGTCAATAATTATGTAAATATTTTTAGTCATTAATTATTTTTTAATTTTAATTGTGTTATTTTTATTTATTAATTATTTTAATTTTTATTAAGTATTAATTACTTTAATATTTTTTATTAGTCATAAATTATTTTTAATAATTTTAATTGTATTATTTATTATTCATATTATTTCAATATTATTTTGAATTTCATAAATGATTTGATATGAAATAGTGCAAATTGAACTCAAAATTATGAAATAGTTGATTCTAGGGGTAAAATAGTAAAATAAGGGAACTTCAAGTGTTGAATGGTTGATCCAACACAAATAATCTTATCTATTTAGAGCATCTAAAAACTAGAAAAGCATCATATCTCTTTTAAGATTTTAGACACTTTTAATATCTTTTTAACTTTTCATATTTATCAAACGCCACGTAAGTTTCACCTCATTTTCTTTCCATGTATCATGTATGAACAACAAAAAATTGAATCATGGATTGCAACCACTTAGGTTTTAGCTCCCTTAATCCATCTCTTTAGAAATCCCAAAGTAGTGTTTGCCATGCTTTTTTACCTTATTCTTTATTTTGTGGGCATGAAATTGATGAAATATAACATCTTCAAAAGTAGGTCATGCATAAATACATATTTAATAATATTTATACTTACAAAAAACATTAAATATCTGGACTTTGGCTAACTGGTCCAAATTAAAGCCTTATACTTTCCTATGATTTTTCATTGGAAAATACATGCACAGGGGATCATAAATTGCTCCACAGGGCATCATAAATTTACTCAACACCATCACCATATTGATAGATCCAAAAATCAAAAAAGATTTTTTTTTACTACATAGAGCATAAAATTGTTCTACTTTTCCCATATGACAGAGGAAGTCAAGGGCCTTTTGATACTAATATGGTTGAAATGAATGGCTTATTGCTTTGTCTCTTTCAGTGAATAATTTATTAATGGGTTTTGATCTCCTTGCTGATTAATTATTATATATTCAAATATTTTAAATTTTTTATCAAAACATATTTTATTATTATTATTATTATTATTATCTATACTATCTATAAAAAAGGGAATGCCCCCTTCTTTCTGATATTTTTATTGAACATTTTTTACCATTTTATCCAAACATACAATATTGGGCATAAAAAAGACATATATATATATATATCATTTATTCTCACTTCAAAAACTGCCCACTTATATGTCCATAAATTATAAATAGTTTTATCTATACTGCCACCTGCGCATTCATGTGCACGTTTACTAATATATTCATCTTCCAGCCGTTCATATATTGTCTTTTCTTTTTTGCTGTTTGTTTTAGAGTCCCCAGCTGTTTTTTTTGTTTTGCTCGTTTCTTCAGTTCCTACTTCCCAGTGAGATCAGCTTCAGTGAGAGCAAAATCCGTTCGAACATTATTCCAACAGCCTTGTACATCGGTAATATCTCTGTTCGAATGGACTATGACTGAATCCTGTTTCCTTCCCTGTGCGCTGTGCGGCAGTGCCTAGTAGTTCCCGGCTTACTCGCTTTTATTCCTTTTTTTTGTACCCCTGCCCCACTCCGGTTTGAGGTATCAGCTTTCAACTGTTAGAAAAAACCGTTCCCCAGAAAAAAGAAAAAAACTCGCAGATTTTTTACTCAGGCACGTTAATTCTGCCACGATTATTTGCATCACTTTAGATCGCCGCATTGAACATGAAGATTGGGAGAATTAATCCCAATAGGCCTTCGTCATCGCATCTCCTTAAAAAAAAAAATTGTTCGAAAAATGTTCCACGTTTCCTCTGCTTTCAACTTTGATCTTCTCTCTCTCTCTCCTAAGTCTGAAAGAAACATCTATAAAGAGAAGTAGAGAACTGCGTGAATCATTAACGCTTTTCTAGTTCTGTACTTGGAGCTCCATACAATCTATTTCACTCTTGACTAACTCCATGCTTCGTCTTGTTCTTCTGTTTCTATCTGCACCTCCTTGTATTTGGGTGAGATTTTAGTATTGGGGGTGGAAGAATTTGTGTTCGTGCGGAGAAATGGCGGCAGTGGCAGAAGGGCCGCTACCGTATGAAGTGTCCAGTGAGCAGAGCTCTTCTAAGCCTACGGATGCGGTGTTGTTCGTGGGGATCTGTTTGGTGTTGGGCATAGCAAGTAGGCATCTGCTTCGGGGGACTAGAGTTCCTTACACCGTTGCCCTGCTCATTCTTGGCATTGGCCTCGGATCATTAGGTATCTCCAATTCAGTTTGGTGCTTTTCTCATTAAATGTTTTTTTTTCTGATTCTGGGTCGGTTCATGTTTCGTGTTTTGCTGGGAGTTAGTATAATTCAAGTTTTAATTCTGTTTTGCAGAGTAACAAGGAAGATTTTTTTTTTTTTTTTGATATTTTCAAGCTTTAATTCCTTTTTTTTTTGATATTTTCAAACTCTAATTCTGTTTTGCAGAGTAATATGGAAGTAATAATTCTTTTCTTTGACATTTTTGTATACTATCTATTTGTTGAACTTGGTTTTATTGGTGGTAAGTTATTTGTAAATGCCATCAACGAGATTTTCGAATGAAAATCAGATTTTAACTAAGGCCTGATCACTACGACCACTTTTAACCTGACCATGAATCAGAGAATATAATTATTTTCAAATGTTAGAAAATCCATACAAACTTTTTCCCATTTCCAGTATTTTTTTTGGTACAATATCCAGTATGGGGTTGAGCTGTCCATCTGTGTTTTACTTTTTTATTTATTTTTATTTTCTCTATCAAATCTCCTGTGGAAGATATCTGAAGCTTACACTACTTGATTCTTTGGTATGCAGAATATGGTACTAGTCTTCGATTGGGAAAAGTTGGGGATGGCATTCGTCTTTGTAAGTTTAGATCTTATGTTCTTTTTGTTGAAGTGAACTTTGCAACAATTAATGACGGTTTGGTATATTATGTGGATTTATCCTGATATATTTAGGAGGTTAGGGACTTCCTGCGACATTTAAATGTTATTTAATGAGGTATAATGATGTTAACGAGCAGGGGCAAATATTGATCCTGACCTTCTCTTGGCTGTTTTTCTTCCGGCTCTCCTTTTTGAGAGTTCCTTCTCAATGGAAGTGCACCAGATAAAGGTGGGCGTTCTCTACTTCTCTGTAATTTAAAGAATTTTAGTTTCACTGAGGATTATCTTGATAAACTTTCATTGAGGAATATCTTTCTTTCTTTCTTTCTATCTATCTATCTATCTATTTTTTCTGTTTATCTATCTGAAACATTGTGAGCAGAAAAATCTTTCAAAGCAAACTAATGTTATCTGGTAAGTTGCTTAAGATCTTTCACTTCTAGTCTTATTGAACAAAATTTGGTCTTCTGAACTTATTTCTGAAAGCTGGAGTGTTGCAGGATAATTGTAAGGCCCCATTCGCTTTTCTGGAAGTTACTTATCCCGGTAAATGCACTTACGGGGGTAAGTGTTTCTTGGGAAATACTTACCCAGGTAAGCACATTTACCCAAGTTCTTTTATTTCCCAGATAAAGAAGAAAATGACTGTTTTAGCCATTAAAAAGCCATTATTAAAAGGGGCAATTTACTTACCCACCTAGGAGATATACTTACCCGAGTAAGCGCTTTTACCCATGTTCTTTTATTGCCCAAATAAATAAGAAAATGACTTTTTTAGCCATAAAAATCCATTATTAAAAGGGGCAATTTTGTCCCATCCAAGCTATGGCCCCCCCCCTCCCTGGTGGGAAAGTTACTTACCCAACCGGGAGATGGGTATCACTTAACCGGGTAAGTGATAACCAGGGAAAATAAATTTTCTGTGGATGCCACATAAATCTGAAAAAATAACATGGGTATCTTGGTCAATGGGAACCAAAATCCCATGGACCCCAACCATCTTTCTCCCCACTCAAAATCCAAAAGAGCAATGGGCCCTAAAAGACTTTAGGTTTCAGGAAACAATTATTGTGGTTGCTTTAGAGTGATTCTAGAAAATAGAGGCTATGGTTTTTGCTACTAATTAAATGGCTAAATTAATAAGAGCAGATCAGTCATACCAATAAATGTTTGTAAAATTTTAGCCAAGATGGTACTTACTAATGGTTCAGACCATGGGAACATGGTGTGAAAGGGGTAAAATAAGGCTGACAGAGTAGTCTGGGACATTATACCTGCAGCAGTGTTCTGGTCAGTTTGGTGTGAAAGGAATGTTAGAATTTTTGAAGGGGTCAAAACTCAAGAGAGGAGGTTCTCACAGCTAGGCACACAAGCTCTTTTTTTTTTATAAGGATTTTCTTTTTGGATATTTTTATGTAATTTCTTGTTGGTTGGGTTTATTTTGGGGATGTTGGTTCTCCTCTAGTACACATTGCCCTTGTACAGGGGTCTGGGCTGATAACTGATTGTATATTTTGTTTCATTTTGATACATAATACAATACTTTACCTTGTTCAAAAAAAAAAAAAAACAAAATGAAAATCATCACCTTCATGACTTTATGAGTTTTATTTCACAAACAAGTGAGGTTTAAAATGTTGGTGTTAGTGCAAGTATCATTCATCCAAATACAGGAAACATGTTGGAAATGTTAGAAATGTTGTATGGGAATATTGTAAAAAGATTATAGACATGGGGGAACATTGTGAAATATGCAAAAACATTGAATTTATTTTAAGCAATGATAAAAGATTCATAGGTAGACCATTTTAAATTATTATCTTGTTTCAACTCATCAAAACTATATGATAGAATGAGTTCAGGCAAAATTTAATCTCATAGAAAGTGCAAGTGATTCTAATAGATGAACCAAATAACTTATTATACAGTAAAAGCTATGTTTGAAAAAAATTTCAAGCTGGCTCAAAGTGAAATCTTGTCCATTATGTGAACAATAACACTATTACTCCAGATATCTAAAATATTGTTACCAACTTATGTTATAATACTACCTCTTGTACTCCATATAGCACTGATAGCTTTCCGTGAGAAATATGTCTATTCCAGTAATACTTCATGTCAGTACCCATAGAAATGGAAATATGTTGTCGAAACATTAGGAAATTTATGGACATTGTAAACCATGCAAACAAGAGCATAGAGAAAAACCTGCAAATGCAACTTATTCAATTCAATACGTCACAAGATACACCCCTTTGGTTAGAAATTTAAATGGCCAAGCCTCCTTGATTCTTCCATAAATAATCCTTGATTCCATTCACAATATGTCACAAGATACACTCCTAAACTAATTAAACTTTTCCATTCTAGTTATTTGATTTTTAATACAGATTCTGTTATTACTGAAGCTGGATTTCGTAGAGTGGCTCTAAAACATTTCAGGACTCCTAACTAAACTGAACTTGCTCAGCCCCATGATTCCTAAATTATCCCTGCTGTCTTATTTATGTGAGGTTTTGATTATGTTCTAAATGAATGGGAATTTCTGAATTCTGTTTGAGATGCATGCTGTAGAAGACCTTCATCTCATGTGTGCTGGCTCTAAGGATCCCACTGGCTTTTTATGGGCCCCACCTCAATTTTCCATCTTTTCTTGGAACTTTCTTTTTTAATGACTAGAAAGAATCTTACAGAGAGACTTGGGGCCTCCACACCTTCTTACTTGCCTACTGAGAGCCCAAACTACCATTAATAAGTAGAAATAATTAAAGTTTGTTATGTTTTATTAATGCTCCTTTCCCCCTTCTACCAGCTTGTCTTCTTTCTTCTTTGTTGTTGTAGCTATTTTACTAATGTGATTATAAAACTAGCGATGTATCATATATTCGATGGATTTTCTCTGATTTGTTTTTTTCTCAACTTTTTTTCTTTGTTATTTTTCCTTGGTACATAAGCCCTAGGGCTAGGGTGATGATTTTCATTGATCAGTTGCACTAAATTATGGATGAATACATACATTCCAGTTATAGTTCTCTTTAGGCTGCATTTGGAGTACAAAAGGCAAATATGTTCAGTTCATGAAGATGGAAACTTGGTTTGGTTTTCCAATGATAAATTTCATACTCTTATTAAATGCATTCTGTTGTGGTGGGTACTAACATGAAATTCAAGATTGGAATCTACCTTTTTTACATTGCCTAACTTTGAGTGCAAAAGTTTTCTTCCATTGATTACAAAAATGTGAGAGAAAACGAATTTACTTTCATTTTCATACCAAACACCTGCAAAACTGAACTGGTGTGTGAATCCGCTTTGGTTCAGCATTTGCCTTCTTACCAGATGCAGCCTTAGGGACTTACTGTTAAATAGTTCAGGCATTGCCCATAGGGGCATTTATGTCAATCTATCTTGAGTTATGTTTTATGTTCTGTCCCCATAGTTAATAGGGGCAGAAAAGTTATTGTACCATGGCTTCATTGATCTAGAGAGCAATATTTTAGAGTCCCTAGAAAGATAATATGGTGGATCTTGGAAAAGAAAGTAATGATCATTGATCATAGATGAATTGACTAAACGTACTTTAGAGGTCCCATGGTGCTTGTGTTTTTTGCTGATGGCATTGTTTTATTTGATGAAATTAATGAAGGATTAAATGCAAAATTAAGTTTACTGATAAGTGCCTTAGAAACAAGAGGCTTTTAAATAGACAAAGAGTGGTCACCACCAAAGGAAGGTTTCATAAATTTGAATTTTGATGGTAGCAGCCAGGGTACCCTGGGCAATCAGGGGTAGGTGGAATTTTTAGGGATGAGATAAGTAATAGTATTGCTATGTTGTCTGAGCCAATTGGGGTTGGGGACTCTGAGAATTGATGTGATGGCAGTAGTGGAAGGTGTTATGATGTGATGGCAGTAGTTGGGGTAAAAGAGCTGAATATATAGAAACTTATAATAGAGGGAGGTACAAAGATTTTAATAGGATGGCTGATGAAGAATGGAGAAACCATGTGGGTGAACAGAAATGAGATTAAAAGAATCAAATAGGTGATAAGAAGTATGGTAGTGAAAGTACATTGGGTCCAGAGATTGGCTAACTCCATGGACGAATCACTAGCCAAGAAAAGGGTGATGGGGGATCATATCTTTCAGGCAAAATTGTAATGAAATTTGTGGAAGAGTTGTATCTTGCCTAATGATCATAATTTAAATATAAATTTGAACATTAATGTCTGATTAATGAAATTTCTATTAATTATTGAGCAAAAAAGGGGCTTCAGAATAAGGACTAAAATAGAATATATGCTATGTAAATTTAATAATAATAGGAGTGACAAAATCATGGTATGCTTATGATTGGAGATCAAGATGTGAGTCATGTGACCTGTTTTGCTACCTTGGTTTGGTAATTCATAACAAGGAAGAGATTGAGGAGGATGTCATCCATAGCACTAAAGCAAGATAGGCAAAATAGGGGGGGGGGGTTGCATTTGGAGTCTTATGTGATAGGCAAATACCACTTAGATTAAAATTAAGATTTTATAAAACAGTTGTAAGGCCAGCTATGCTTCATAGATCAAAGTGTTGGGTAGTCAAAACAGCATGTCCGAATGAGTGTAGCAGAAATGATTGAGATGGATTAGTGGAAAAACTAGAAAGTATTGGGTTAGAAATAAAGTCATTCAAAGGAACCTAGGAGTAGCTCCAGTAGTAACTCCTAAAAAGTGATCTTTTACAAACTGAAGGGCCTAGAAGGGTTAGGGGCAGACCAAAAGGGACATAGGTTGAAATAGTAAGAAATGATTTAAGCACTCATAATTTGACACTGGATTATGGATGTGGCATTAAACAGAATAGAATGGTGAAACAGGATTCATGTAGCTGGCCCCATATAGTTGGGGTGAAGAAGAAGAAGAAGAAGAAGAAGATGGTGACGATGATAATGAATGAAACCTAATGTTGGGAATATAGATAGAAACAGTAAGGCTCCCTGAATGCATGGACTAAACTTATGGGTCATTATTTTACCTTGGTGTTCATCTAATGATGGGTTCTGATATTTTTGGCCATGCCTCCAACAAAAGCACAACGACTGAAGCACCCATGCACCACACCTAGACAAATTAACCAGTAACTCTAGAAGCTCAAAGGTAGAAAGAACTTGGTAAGATCTAGCATCAGTTGATATCTTGATGATGTGAATGTTCTACTTACTTTAGGTCTTCATACTCTCTTTGTAAAAGAACCATTTGTGTAGAGGTGAAGCATTTCAATTTGGATTTAGTAGCTCCTTCAAGAGAGTAAAGCAATATGAACCATTTACCTTTCATAATGGGATCTTGGGAACATAATTTTGGTTGTTGATTCCGTTATATAATTGTCATTTTTTACGACAGAAAATTGGATACCTGATTTAAAGAATTTAGATTATATCACTGAGGGCTCTTCAAATTTTAACAAATGCTCAACTCATGCCTGCCTCATTTTTATCCCTGGTCATTTCTGTTTATACTTGTTTGAATGGAAAACCCAACAAAAAAAAAGAAAGAAAAAGAAAACCTGAAAAGAATAAAAGAACAGAGGAAAATTTAAGTGCATGACTATACTATTGCTAATGGATTGATCAATTGTTTTCTTGCACTCAAAAGGAAATAATCAACCTTTGTTTTCTTCATTTTCCTTAATCATGCAGAGATGCATTGTACAAATGGTTCTGCTTGCTGGTCCAGGTGTTCTAATTTCAACTTTCTGTCTGGGATCTGCTCTGAAGGTATCTTTGGGTTCTAAAGCTTATATTTAATCTTTGGTTCTTTGTAATAAATTTGACAATTCCATTCTGCAGCTTGTTTTCCCATATAGTTGGAGCTGGAAAACATCATTATTGCTAGGGGGCCTTCTTAGTGCTACTGACCCTGTTGCTGTCGTGGCTTTATTGAAAGAGCTTGGTGCAAGCAAAAAACTGAGTACAATAATTGAAGGAGAATCATTGATGAATGATGGGTATCTATTTTTAATAGCTTTTCGTGTTTATTGATACCTTGGAAAAAGCTATTCTATTTCTTGTAGGCATTATAATATTGGTTAGTTTCTTAGGTACATTTAGGGGTGCAACTTGGGTGGGCCTAATTGCAAGTGTGTTTATTGGTGCTGGCCTAATTGCTGTAAATCTTGTAAATAACATTTGCACATTTATCATTAATGAAATTACTTTAACTTTACTATTACCTATCAAAAAGAATATTGGTACTAGATTGAAAGAAAAGAAAGGGCAGATAGGAAGAAAGATGTAAAGAGTGGAGAAGAGAAGATAAAAATGGGAGAGAGGGATGGAGGTTATAATAGGAAGAAAGAAGATGGGAGATTCAGTTAATGCAGAAGTCCAAGCTGTACAAGAAGGAGCAGAGATTGCAAAAGAATTGGCAGTGGAACACTTAATTATTGAAGGTGACTCCAAATTGGTTATTGGATGGCTAAAAGAGCTGGAGATTGCAGCCTGGTTTTATAGGGAAGCGTTGAGAATATTGAAGTGGTTAACATCAAATATCTCAGCCACAGTTCATTGGGAAAGATCAGAAAATGGGTTGGCAGATTTTCTAGCCAAACAAGGGTATATAGGAATCAGCTCTTTTGGGCTCACTTGTAAGCTTTATGATATAGTTTAGAGGCTGCACCTCGTGCCTTTTTGTGGGGAGTTTCACTTGTATCCCGTGCTTCTTTAATTAATAAAATTACCATTATCTATTAAAAAAAAACAGAAGAAAGAAAAAAGTTAAGGGCCTGTACCCATTCACCTCTTATTTATAATAGCTTACATTGTGTACAAAAGGACAAGATAACCCTTCTTAAGATAAATTACATATTCATTTGCACACTTGGATTTTTGTGACAGAGTTAACTTTCAATTTCCAGGACAGCTATTGTGGTATATCAGCTCTTCTATCAAATGGTGCTTGGTGAGACTTTTAACGTGGGGACTATAGTCAAATTCTTAACTGAAGTTTCCCTTGGAGCGTATGTAGCACTGTCATTTTGTATATAATTTGGTTTGAAGAAATGATTTTGTTTCCAAGTTTCTTTCTTTTGTTCAGTGTAGGTATTGGACTTGCCTTTGGAGTATTATCCGTTCTTTGGTTGGGGTTTATTTTCAATGACACGGTAATAGAGATTACACTGACACTTGCTGTGAGCTATTTGGCATATTTCACTGTAAGTTAACTTAAATATCTGTGACGCATTTTGAAATTTCATTTTATGTTGTATATTAACTGTTCATTTAATAGACTAAAATTTGTTCATCAATGTTTTGAGGTTTTGTTGCAAACTCACATTTGTTGTATTCCTCATATCAAGGAAACAAATGCTTCATATAGTCTTACGGTTCTTAGTTGAAACATGAAATGAAAAAGAAAATTGGTGTTGAGAACTAGAGGCCCATTTTGAATGATTTGGCTTGATTTCACGTGATGTTGATTAATCTGACCCTTTATGATTTGAGAGTTGATTACATTTACTTATTTGTGTGACCTGCAATTATTTTCAACTTGTTTCTGCATTAGAATGGATTAATTGCATTATCATCTTCATTCTGATAGACTACATTCTCTTCTGAATATTTTTTTTTTTGGTTAAATTTTAACAAATATTCTTAACCATGCTTGCATATAGACAGAAAAAGAAGGAAAAGATAAACTCCTGGTGGGTGGTGTGACAGCTTTCTGTTAACATATTTCTTTTTGATATCTTAATCCAGCTTGTTTTTTCTTTTTAGTTGTTTCCTTCCATACTTCTTCTGAATGGTATCTTAGATACAGATTAATATAATAAGAGAGGAAGGAGGCAAAGATGGAGAGGTTTGTGGAAGCAGGAAGATGGAAGAAAGTTCTGAACGTTGAACCTAAGATTTCCTTTTTGAAGAGATGAAAATCAAAGGGACGCTGAGCTTGAAGATCCGGGAGGCAAAGAGGGCTACAGTTTTGCTGGTGGGCCTTGAAGTGATGGAATGGTTGAAGGATTCTGTGATGGTAGCAAGCTCCAAAGGTAAGCAAACAAACTACAGGGATCTTGGATTAGAAGGAAGAAGAAGGTATGAGGTGGAATGTAAGAAAAATACCAAAGGATCATCTATTGCTCTTCAGGAACATTTTGGGGAAGGAATGAAGCAGCTGGTATTCTTCCCTGAAGGAAGAAAGGGTCAAGGTTGGAAGGAAGTTGCAAGGTTGCTTTGTGATTTCCTAGTCAGGCTAGGAAAGTTTGAAATACTAGAAAAGGAAAAAGAAGTGATTATGAGTTACATCAAGGTAGAGGGAAGCAGCAGAACCTGGTAGTTGTAGAGAAGAGGAAACTGAACTGCAAACTGATAACAAATGGAGGGAAGGAGGATTGGGATAGAAAGTTTGTGGTTGATACCTTAGCCCATCCAAAAGACTGGAGGAAGGTTGCAGAGGTGATCCTATGAGAGTTAAAGTTGAAGGCTCTGATTGTTATTACCCCTTTTGAGAGAGGAGTTCACTTTCAGACTGTAAAGGCTCCTGTTTCCAAATCGAAGTCTCTGATTGTTATTACCCCTCTTAATAATTGTAAGGCTTTGCTTGATATGGGCGAGACAGGAGTTGAAGTCTCGGCATTAAGCTTCAATTCGGAAGCAGGAGCCTTTACAGTCTGAAGGTGGGCTCCTCTCTCAAACTCTAGAAATTATAGTATTGAGGATGATGTGTTCGTTCGTTTGCTAGGACTGCTGTTTCACCTTTGGAGGGATGATGTGTTGCAGCCCTTAGCCTCAATATGTAATGCTGGATTAGATGGAGTATTTGTTCACAATCTACATTTGTAGCTCTCAGGTTAAGTGGTGTTAAACCTGATGATATACCAAGAAGGGTAGAGGTTATAACAGATGGAGTTTCCTACTCTGTTTGGATGGCGACCTCCATTGATGTGCAGCTGTGGAAGGAAGGTTGCAGGGTGGAAGATGAAGAGACAGAGCTGATCTGTTTACTTGGGGAGCAAGGTAAGGATTGTAACATTAATATGGAAAAGCAAAAAGTGGAGAACATGAAAGCTATTGGGCAGGTTGATAGTTTAGGTAAACTGGGAAACAACATTGGTCAGAATGGCAAGTCCTATGCTAAAGTGGTGACAGATGGAGTTAAAGACAGTAAACATGCACAAGCTATTCAAATAGGAAGAGCTTAAGGCTGGTAGAAAACCAAATGCTGGGCCTGGATCGGCCTTTTAAATCTAGACTGGATGCAGGAGTGGACCATTCTCACATGGGGGAAAAGGGTGGTGTTAGAGGAAAATAGTTGGAATGTGCCCTTCTTTAGGAGTATAAGAATACAAAAGAATCTTGGGAGGAAAATCTAGCAAAATTTGAGGACTCAAAAGAGCTTAGAGTCATTCTTAGTAAATCCGGGGGTAGGGAAAAGCCAAAGGAAAAATAAAATATCAGAGGTAAAGAGATTTGTTAGCCAAAGCATTACTGGAGTGACTTCGGACCATTGTCCCATTACACTTGGACAAGAACCTTTTAGCTGTGGTCCTTAACCTTTTAGATTTGAGAACATGTGGTTGACTCACTTAGATTTTTTGAAGAGTGGAAGAGTGGTGGAGTGAAGAGGTGAGGGGGTGAAGTGGAAAAAGGGTAAAATTTCACAAGAAGTTGAAGAGTTTAAGAGCAGAGCTAAAAGAATGGAACATGGACCAATTTGGGAGAATAAAGGAAGTGAAATCAGCTTTGTTGTCTCAAATGGAGGAACTGTATGTGAAGGAATCTCAAAGAACAATGAACGGACAATAGAGAGAATTATGATGGAGGTTGAAGAAGTTAGAAAAGGTTCTTTTGCAAGAAGAAATCTCTTAGAGGTTCTGGAAATACTAAACTCTTCCACAAAATGGCTAGTGGGAGAAGGAAAAATTTGGTTATTAAACTTGAAGTGGATGGATTAGTACTTGATTCCCAAAACGATATAGCCAACTACTTTGTTAACCATTTTAAAGCTATCTTGAGGAGACAACTAGAAAGCAAAGTGGAGTTGAATGGTCTGGAGTGGCCGAGTCTCTTTGAAGAAGATTAAGGGTGGTTGGGTAGGAAATTTGAGGAGGAAGTCCGACAAGCAGTTTTTAATGGACAAATCCAAGGCACCAGGGCCCGATCGCTTTACTATGGCCTTCTATCGAGATTGTTGGAATATAGTTAAAGAGGATTTGTTTGAGGTCTTCAAAGAGTTTGAGGACATGTTTATCATTAATCGAGGAATCAATGCTACTTTTTTTTGCCCTGGTTCCAAAGAAAAAAAAGGCCTTACATCCCAAAGACTTTAGACAAATTAGTCTAGTGACTAGTGTTTATAAGATCTTGGCTAAGGTATTGTCTTTAAGGATTAAAAAGGTGCTTCCCTCCCTCATTAGTCAAGCTCAAGGTGCTTTTGTTCATGGAAGACAAATAGTTGGTCAAATTTTAATAGCAAATGAATATGTGGAGGAGATGAGAAGATTGGGCAATCAAGGTTTCATATGCAAATTGGATCTTGAAAAAGCATATGATTTGGTGGATTGGAGTTACCTATTAGAGGTGCTTTAGAAGTGTGGTTTTGGGGATAAATGGTGTAAATGGATTAGTGGGTGCCTCGCTTCTTTTCATTACCCAGTTTTAATCAATGGGGTAGGGTAGTAAATGATTTCTTCGCAGCTTGTAGGGGTTTAAGACAAGGTGATCTTCTCTCCCCCTTTTTATTCACATTGATAGTTGATGCATTTAGTAGACTTTTATCAGAAGTAGATAGTGTTGGGTCAATAAGAGGGTGGAGAATAGGAAGAAACCAAGTAGTAGTAACCCACCTTCAATTTGCAGACAACATCATGATTTTTTGTGAAGGACTTGAAGTGTCAAGGGTGCAGAATCCAAAGAACCTAATCTCACTTTGTGGGAAGGCTTCTAACTTGAAGATCAATCTTGAGAAAAGCTGTGTTGGGGCTAAACCTAGACTAGAGGGAGGTGGAGTCTATTGCTGCTTGCTTAGAGTGCACCATTTCTGAGTGGCCCTTGACTTACTTAGGACTTCCCCTAGGTGCCAACCCTAAGGAGAGCCACTTATGGAACCCAGTGGTGGAAGTTTGGAAAAAGATTTTGACTTGGAAAAAGAACTATATATCACTTGGGGGAGGAGTTACCTTGGTCAAGGCCACACTTGCCAATCTCTCTATCTACTTTCTATCCGTTTTTAGGATACCTTGCAAGGTAGCTGGCAGACTAAAAAAACTGATGAGGGACTTCCTGTGGGAGCTAGGGGAGGAGAAAAAGGATCACTTAATTACATGGGAGGTAGTGGGTTGTTGTAAGGAAGAAGGGGATTTAGGGTTAGGGAACTTAGTTAATAGGAATGAAGCTCTATTAGGTAAATGGCTTTGGAGGCGGCCTTTGGAAAGAGAGAGGTTGTGGCATGAGGTGGTGGAGAGCATCCATGGCTGTTCTGAAATTGGATGAGATGCCAGGGTATGTCGACGGGCTCGGCTCACCACACCTTGGAAGGCAATCTCTGGCATTTTTCCTAAATTCCTCCGGTCTGTAAGGTATGACGTTTGCTCAGAATTGTTTGTGGATTACTCTGTGATGATATTCGGAGGAGTTGGGCAGCGGTGGCATCAATAGCCTCAAAGGAGACCAGATTACAAGCAAGGTGGACTCCTCCTCCAGAAGGGGTAATAAAGCTGAATTTTGATGGTAGTAATGAAGGTAACTCAGGGCCCTTGGGTATTGGAGGAATCTTGAGGGATAAGGATGGCAACATTCTCCTTATTCTCAGGCGCAGTAGGAGTTGGAGATTCAACGAGAGTTGAATCACTAGTATTTGTACAAGGCTTACAGATTACCAATCTACTTGGAGTGGAGAATTTGGTAGTTGAAGGGGATTCCAAGGTGATAGTGGGGTGGTTGCTGAATCCGGACACTGTCACTTGGGGCTACAGAGATCTTCCGAGAAAAGTAAAATGGCTTACAAGGAATATGACAGTCAATTTCCAGTGGGTCAGTAGATCAGCAAATGCATTGGAAGACTCTTTGGCTAAACAAGGGGTTTTTCGGGTTTCTTTGGCTAACTTATAGTCTTGCTTACCAATAAGTGTTTGGGTCTGTACTTACCCCTATGAGGAGGTAGCATCTCATGCCTCCTCCAAGGCTGATTGTACTTCCTTTTTTTCTCTATAATAAAATTGCCTAATCATTCATCAAAATATAAATTAGAGAGGTTATGAGGGAGAAATAGATGCTGTTCCATGAAGGCTGCAATCTGCAACTCTGTGTGGGTGGCCAACTAGGTGATGACTATGACCAAAAATGAATTCAAAGGGCTCCCCATGGATCCCATAGTTCAGGGCTCGCAAGTGGTAGCAAGATTCTCTCATTCCATCCATATGCTACAGAAAGATTTGCAACCATCATAGCATGTGATGATAAAACTAAACGCTTCATGGTTGTTATATATCGGAAATTTGGAACCTAGGGTATGGAAGGAGTCTTTGGAGAAGTTGAAATTCAGGTTAGAGTTTATAAGGAAAAGAAAGAATGTATAAGAGAAGAGAAAGTTTGAGAAGGCAAAAGCTAAGGTCCTCCCCATCTCATTTTGTTTTATTAAATGAGCAAATAATAAATCAGAATATTGCCCTCAACTACAGTTGTCAAGGTCCCTGGAGATTTTGGGTGATAAAGCAGTGTGTAGTCACCTAGTCACTAGCCACAACATAGGTGAGGTGAAAAACGTTTACAGACAAAAAAGAACTAAATTGTAGGTTAGTTCCCTAATTGTGCATACCAATCAGCATGTATATATAAATTGAAAAGTTGCAATTTCATTACTAATAATATTGATTTTCCTTTGTAACATAGCCAATCTCATAGGTCTGTAAAAGGAGTTTGGCTGCATGAGCTCTGATGAGTGATTCCTCTTGTAAAAATATATGCAAATTCTTCTCCATATTTCCTTAGCACTACCAGACCTTAAGTTCTTCTCTATGTCGACTGAGGAGATTGGAACTCCAACGGTGTCCCCATATTAGTTGGAAGTTGACCAAGGGTAAGAGGTGTAGTGGTATGAATGAATTCCCACCCCAAAAGATTTTTTTTATCATAATGTGGAAAACTATATACAATTACAAATACATTTCTAAAAGAGCACAAGAAAAGACAACAAAACTATTGGCCTATCTAGTGAATCAGGCCTACAGTAATAAAAACAAAATACACTAAATATACCATATGCAAAGCCCTTCTCTGTTCACACTTGGGTGGTAATGGTTCTGATTGACGATGAGGGAGACAAGAAGGTAAACAAAGGGGGTTTTGTTGATGCAGAGGAAGAGGATCAGATTTATGAAATCCTTGTAATCGATGAAGAAGTGGCAATAGATAGAATTTTCAAAAAAAAAAAAATAGTACCAATAGATAAGGATGTTGGATCCTTGCCTTGGTCAGCCAAATTCTTGGATTGTTCCTTTTTTCTGGGCAGGGGATACGCCTCTTAACTATTTCCTAGAGAATTGGAGCCTGGAGGTAAAGGACAGGGTTAGATCTAATTTTGAATGCTGACAATATAGAATTGGAGTTTACTAACTCAACCTTAATCTGAATTATTTGGGGTTGGCTAAGGAAACTTGTAGAGTGATTTTTTATCTGTTTGATTGGGAGTTAGGGTCACATCAGAACCATCTAGAGGAAGTAGGAAACTGGAAGAGGTATTAGAAAAGTAAATGAATGAGAGGCATAAGCTATACAAGTAAAAGATAGTGTTATTTCTTTCTTTCCTCCTTTCTTTTCCTTTGGGGTTGGGGAGTAGATAGGGGTTGGTTGTGGGGTGTTTTTCTTTTTTTTTTTCCTTGGTTTCTCTTGTTTTGTGCTTGCAAAATTTATGCTGTTCTCCAACTCTGGTTTTCCTTGCTTTTAGTATTGGTTTGATGGCTGTATCCTCCACTGTGGGTGCATATGTGTTGTTTTGCTCGGGGTACAGGTTTGTAGTGCATTGCAGCTTTTCTTAGCTGCATTTCTCTTAATATTTTCCTTGTTTTATGCCCTGTAGATTGCTTGTATACCTTTTGTTTGTTCTTAATAAATCTTATATTGAACATCATAAAAATATAGAATTCATAAGTTAGTGATTCATTTTCATAATTTATGACAATCTAACCTAAAATGTGTTGTTTTTATGTGCTAGGCTCAAGAAGGGGTTGATGTTTCAGGTGTCTTGACAGTGATGACTCTAGGAATGTAAGTTATATTAGTGTCATAATTTCTTACATAGATTGACTATAAGCTCATTAAATTAGATAAAAGATGGGAATAAACAATTCTTGTATTACACATATGGACATTGCACAGGTTCTATTCTGCAGTTGCAAGGACAGCTTTTAAGGGTGAAGGCCAACAGAGCTTGCATCATTTTTGGTATGTTATCCATATTGTTTGGGAAGAAACTAACCAATACTCTACATTGAAAATATGCCATCATTTCCAATTAATGTAGTTAAGGAAGCTATGAGATAGCCAAGGGTTTTACCTGAATGTGAACCATCTCTGTGAAGCATTGGGTTGATGGATCTGTAGAAGAGTATAAGACTAGGTTGGTAGCCAAAGGTTTTACCTGAATGTTTTCATCCAATCTAGGGTTTCATGCCTGTAATGAAGAAGAGGAAGAACACTTGGGTGAATGCTCCCACTCCCAAAGAGCAAGGTTTTTTTTTTTTTTATTTTTGATTTTTATAATTGAAGTATGATTTTATTAACAGGGAATGAGAACTATTACAATCATTCCAAGGGGAGGCATGAGATGCAACCTCCCCTTACAAGGAAGAATACATTTTAAACACCAGGAAGGATTACAAAGCAGCCCAAAATGTATTTTCTCTGTTAATCCCTTGTTTGGCAAGACAATCAGCCAAAGCATTCGATGATCTGCCCACCCAATGGTAGCTAATGTTCGTTTTTCTTGTTAACCACTTGGCTTTTTTAAGAGATCACTGTAGCACCAAATCACTGAGTCTGAGTCTACTAGCCAACCCACCACAACATTAGAGTCTCCTTCAATTATTAGATTTTCCACACCTAGCTGACTTGCAATTTGGATATCTTGTAAAACCACTAATTGTTCAGCCCTATTAGAGTCTCCCAAGCCTGCTGGGCCAGAGAATAAGGCTAAAATGTTGCAGTGCTTATCTCTCAACACCCCTCCTATTTCAGAAGGTCCTGGGTTGCCCTGACTACTTCATCAAAATTCAACTTTACACTTACTTCAGGCAAAGGGACCCACTCTGTATAGACCTTATCCTTCCTAGAAGAACTAATTGCCACAGTTAATCAATTCCTCCAAAGGTCATCAAAAGAAAAGGATTGGAAGGAATAAGTAGTTATCAACCAATGTATTGTTCTTGTCAAAATGCAGTCCCTAACAGTTTAAAGACTTCTTTCTCTTGAAAGATTTTAGCATTCCTTTCTTCCCAAATTGTCCAGAGGGCAGCTTCTCTAATACATTTTCACATGCTCCTCCCTCTTTTAGTGGGAAACACAAAGAAAGATGGATGGAACTGTAGCCTTACATCTATACGTGAGTTCCACCTGCACCCAAACAAAGCAAAAATCCAATTCCAAATAGCTGCAGCAAAGGAGCAGTAAATTCGTAAGTGGAAATGATCCTCACCATTAGCTTTGCAAATAACACATCAATTGGGAGACAAACACATAAAAGGCCTTTTCTTCTGTAAGCTCTAAAGTATTGATTTTTCCAAAAAATGCCTCCCAACAGAACACCACAATTTTAAGGGGAACAGACCTAGTCCAGACCTCCTTTACCAGAAAAACCCTCTGAGTAGAAGAACAAAGGGACCTAAAGAAAGAATCATAGGAGAAGGAACCTTTTGGATGGGGGATTGGGGATCCAAATCTTCCTATCTAGTTGATTGGGGTCCAAACAAACATTACCAAGAAGAGTTAGGAGTTCGGAGGCACACTGAAGTTCATTGTCCCTTAAGCCTCCTCTAAACCCAAAATTCTAACTTAAAGACAGAGGGAGGACAGGAGAGAGGAGTAAATTAGAAACAACCTTCTTCTTAAACATGGAAATGGATATACTTTAGAGCTGAGTTACCCACCCAAAAATCATCCCAAAAGAAAACAAAATTGCCAGAGCGAACATCATACTTGAAAAAATTTAGAAAGAGGAAGGATGCTGTGAATTTCTTTCCAAGGTGTAGACAAAGTTGCCCAACGTGATACACCAGCTTCCCAACCATTTTCCAAAGACCCATGAATACTAGCTACAACCTCATGCCAAAATCTCTCTCTCTCTCTCTCTCTCTCTTCAATGGCCATCTCCAAAGCCACTTTCCCAAAAGAGATACATTCTTAAGGACTAAATTGCATATTCCCAATCCGCCTTCTTCATTGCTCCTACACACTAATTCCCACCTTATCAAATGGTCCTTTTCTCTTCCCCTGGTTCCCAAGCTTCTTGGCCTCCCTATTCTAGACACTGAAATAATAAACCGACAAATTAGCCAAAGTGGATCTTAACAAAATTATTCACCTAACCCCTAGAGAGATATAATTCTTCTTCCAAGTTGCTTGTCTTTTTTCAAACTTTTCCAAGATTGGAGTCCAAAAGCAACTCTCCCTTGGATTAATACCTAGAGGAAGGCTTGGATAGGACATAAGCTAGGAATAAGTAGGACAATCTAAACACTCTGCCACAGACTCTGTCACAGACTCAATAGCCCTATCATCCATATTAATTCCCATTGTGCAGCTCTTGTCTAGGTTTATCTTTAAATTGGAGACACTCTCAAAGTGTTTTATCAATCCTTTTAGGTTCCTCACCTTACTCAGATCTCCCTCTTCATAGAAAATTATAATGTCATCAGCAAATTGGAGATGGGTTACCGAAATTTTATTCCTGCCTATTCTCCAACCTTTTATTGCATTTTCCCTATCAACCTTCGTAATTAATCTACTAAAGACATCAGCTACAAGGGTGAACAGAAAGGGCAATAGAGGGTCATCTTGCCTTAGGCCTCTACAAATAAAAAGATGTCCTTGACCACACCATTAACCAATACTGGACAATGACAGGAGCTGACACAACCCTTCACCTAGTTACACCATCTTTCCCCAAAACCACAATTCCTTAGTACCTTTATCAATAAATTTCATTCCACCAAGTCATAAGCCTTTTCTATGTCCAACTTATAGACAAAATCCTATTGGCCGGACTTCCTCATTTTCTCCACACATTAATTGGCTAATAAGATCTGATCAATTATTTGTCTTCCTTGCACAATGGCTCCTTGGACTTGACTAATAAGGGAGGGTAGAACTTATCTTATCCTTAAAGACAACACCTTAGATAAAATTTTGTAGATTCTAGTCACAAAACTAATAGGTCTAAAATCTTTAGGATGTTTCACATCTACCTTCTTAGGGATTAAAGCTATAAAGGTGGCATTGACTCCAAGGCTTACTAAGTGTTTATCTTCAAACTCTTTAAACACCCTAAAAAGATCTTCTTTCACCACATCCCAACAATCCTGATAAAAAGCCATGGTAAAACCACCTAGGACCAGAGCCTTGGACCTGTCCATTGAGAAAACTACATGTTTATTCTCTTCTTCCTCAAAATTCCTTTCAATCCAGTTCAAATTCTCTTCACTCAATCTTGGCCAATCTATACCTTCTATGCTTAACCTATCATTTAAAGTTCTTATGAGAATTGACTTAAAATGATCCACAAATAACCGGGCTATCTCATCCTGATTTTTGATTTCTCTTCCCTCCAATTCTAATTTAGCAACAAGGTTCTTCCTCCTCCTCTTATTAGCCAAGGCATGAAAACATTTTGTATTCCTATCCCCTTCCTTAATCCATATATGTCTTGACTTTTGCCTCCAGGAAATCTCTTTTCTAAAAAGGACTTCTTCTAGCTCCTTCTTGAGTTCTCTTCTCAACCCTCTCTCTTGCTCAGTCAAAATCCTTTGAGATTCATTGCCATCCAACTCCTCAATCAGGGACAAGGAAACCTTTTGTTCCTCTACCCTCCCAAAGTGGTTTTTGTTCCATTTTTTTTTAAATTTTTGATCTTAGCTTTTTCAAATTTTTTTATGAAATCTAACTCCTTGCCACTTCACCCCCCTTAACTCTTTAGTCCACCACTCCTCAACCTTATGCACAAAATTCGGATAAGTTAACCACATATTCTCAAATCTAAAAGGTCTTGGTCCATTCCCTAGTAGTTCTTGACCTAAAGAGATAGGGCAATGATCTAAGGTAACTCTAGGTAAAGTCTTAGCCACCCAATCCATTCAATGGTTCTCCCACCCTACATTGAAGAGGAGCCTATCCAATTTAGAACGGAGAGGGTTATCTTGAAAATTAGACCAAGTATAATAGGCTTGCAATGGGGGGATCTCCTTTAACTTACAATGATTAATAACATCATTAAATCTCATCATGCTAGTTGTAATTGGGTAATAGGGATTGTTGGATTCATGTAGAATCTAATGACTTTCAAATCTCTCCCCAAACACCAAGGGCCATCCCATAATCCTTGTATTCCATACAACTCCTCCCACATTTCATTCCTTTCTCTATAGTTGTTTGGCCCATACATGTTGTTGAGTTTTGGGCTGATATAACATGTTTTTTATTTACATAGCATAGTTAGGGAATTATTGGGCCTTAGGCCCATTTGTTTATGCTTTAAGTTAAGAGTGTTTTTAAGTTCTCACAAGTAGCCGACTTACTAAGGGCATACTTGTCTTTGTACTCTCTTTTATTTATGAGTATATAATCTAATGAAAGGGGCAGCCAAACCTAATTCTGAGCTTCTTCCATTCTCTTCTATCTCTCATCTCTCTTTCTTAGCTGAAACTTTTTCTCCTCTTTCTTTTCTTCCTTCTTTTACAGTTTTTATATCAAAACAGGTTGTCCAAACCTTTCTACTTGGTATCAGAGCAAGTTTAAACATTTCTTGAGCTGCTACATCATGCAGCCCTAGATCGGCTGATTGCATGATAAGGTAAAGGACTGATCGAAGACTAAAGTAAGCCCAATTTTTGGATTTTTTGGTGGAATTGCAACCCCTTGTAGTTGGTCTAGGGTTTTACACCAAATTTAGGAAGAACTGGAGGTAGGGGGAGAGTCCTGTTTTAGTAGGACTCTTCAATTTTGACCTAGGAAGTGGCGTTCTATTTTTCTAGGGTCCCTTGAGGTCTTTTGAAGGGGGGCGGTTCAAGTCCCAACATTTTTGGAGGTCTTTGGAGGGAGCAACAACTTCTCTCTCTTCTCCCGCTCTTATGGAAAAAGGAATCTTTGGAGGGAGGGGCTTCTAAGGTTCTAGGAGGGTGTTTGAGGTTTCTAAAGGAGATAAATACCTTCTTTTTCATCTCAAATTGATTTCT